AACATTTCGACCAAATTCAAAACGTCGTTAATATTCGACAAGATTTCAACCAAATTAAAAAAAATTAAAAAAATAACAGGGAGCAGGGGACCAGGCCTTAAAGCGAAACTTCCCCTTTTGGGTGGAGCTTCGCTTTAAATTTGTTTTCAAATGTTTGTTCAAATTTGTTTTCAAAATTGTTTTTGATTTGTTTTCAAATTTGTTTTTGAATCAAATTTTGCCTGCATTTCGTTATTTTGGATTTGTTTAAATTAGTTATTTTTGTAATTCGTTATTTGGATACATCCGAATCTCCGAATAATGAAAATTTGTCCGAAATGCGATTCAGAACGAAACGCACATATCTAGCTATAGATGAAGACTACAGAACCTATGAGGAAGAAGAGGAAGAGTATGCTTTTAGGCCATGTTCACACCTGTGTGTTTTTCTATGCGTTTTGCAGGAACGCAGTGCATGCCATTTATCATGATTTCCTATGGATCACGTTCACATCTATGCAGCTTTTGCGGGTGTGATTTTTTGGAAAGGGTCAGGGACTTCTTTTCCCGCATCAGTTTGCATTTTTAGTCTAATAGATTTCAATGGAACTGCATGTGAAATGCAAGTGCTGCAGTTTGCATGCATTTTTTATGCATTTTGGCACATTTTTTAGCGTTTTTTTTATGCGTTTCGCATTTTTAATCTGCCCAACAACAATTTGGCCAAAAAAATTTAAAAAAATAAAACGCATCAAAAACACGTCAAAAACACGTGCAAAATGCAAAAAGCACTGCAGAAATGGATCAAACTCAAACTGCATAGGTGTGAACCTAGCCTCAGCCCTGGCAATGCTTCTCCTGCATGGATACAATACAATGGCTCAGGGGCGTATTTACCACAAGGCAAACAAGGCGCTTGCCTAGGGCGGCATTTTTCAGGGGGGCAGCACTTACCCCAGAAGAAGGGAGGAAAGAAGGGACACATGCACCATGGGAACCAGGTGGGATCCGAGAGAGGCTGCTGGCTGCTTGATGGTGTATGTAGAGCCTGGCTATTGTTCCCAGGGATGTCCAGAGCTGTGAAGATGAGTGTCACTCTATCGCCGGAGGGTGGAGGGTAGTGGAAGGCTCTCCTGGGTGGGAAGCAGGGGTGTTGTTGGTCAATGTCCATGGGGGCAGACGATTTTTGTGTTGCCTAGGGCAGCACAAAACCTAAATACACCACTGCAATGACTGTTGTCACCCTGGGACAGGTAGTGTGTTATTCTCAGGATCACCAGCTGAAAATAAAGGAAAAAAAAGCCTAAAGCATGCTCACATAGTTGGTGACCCAGCAGTGTTCTTTAAAAATATGTTGCTTTGCCACAGTCCCCCCATAGCCTTGTTTTCCGTATGTCACCAGGGAGTGGCCCCATGAAGACATGCATGCGTTGCACCATGTGATAAGGTGGAAGCTGTAAAAAAATGGAATGATGGCCGGCCCCCTTTATGGCGTGGCACATGTGCCATAAAGTTCCCTTCGGCCTCCTGGGACTTGTAGCATGGGTATCCCACAAGGCCGCAGGTACTGTACACATCAAGTGTTAAGGAGGTGCCCAAAAACGATCCAATTCTGTTAGAAGGGGAGGGGGACAGGAGGACGTAAAGTGAAGCTAAACCCTCTCAGTCCAGATTAACTATGTTTATTCTTTATGCTGCTAGCATTAGTAAATAGATAGGAAATATTTGTTTTAAACTTTTTTTTTTATATTTATTTAGTTCCTTCCTGGTTTCTGGCCTAGACCAAAAGGATGTCATACAGATCAAGAGTCTTCATGAGCACTTTTTTTCCTTTCATCTGAAGGAGGGGAGGGGACTAAGCGTCCCCTCCTGCCTACATGCATGAACTAAGGGCAGATGGATTCCAGGAAGTAAATGCTACATGAATGTCTGCCCTTGCTCAAGATGCTAGGGCAGTGTTTTTCAAAATTATTTCTACCCCCCCCTCCAAAAAAAAAAACAAAAAACACACAGACATGGATGGGTGGATTTAGTTTGAATATTAAAAATAAATTAAATAGCTTTTTCAGTTTGTGGTGCTCAGATACAGTTTAGATCCACATTAATATAGCATAAAAAGTTGATGGGAAATGCAGTCACCACATCTATGGACCAGAAAGATGTAATTTGATGTGTAATACATTATGTACAATGAAAGGTTTGTTACCTTTTCTGTCGAGGACAGAAAACAATGGTGAAGGGTTACACAGCCTTTCGCCATGCTACCAGAAAATCTTAGCAGGCCAAGGGATATTGGGCCTTTCCAATCCTTGCAAGTGCATGTTGTGTTAAAGTTATAGTAAAACTTTTTTTTTCCTAAAACAAAATACGAGGTTATACATACTTTCTCTGTGCAACAATATTGTACAGAGAGGCCCCTTACCCCCTCTTTGGCTGACCCCTGCTGGCGCTGTCTGCTCCTCCTTAGCAAGATACAGTCATGGCCGAAATTGTTGGCACCCTTGATATTTCTCCAGGAAATCATGTATTTCTCACGAAACGTATTGCATTAACACATGTTTTGCTATACACATGTTTATTCCCTTTGTGTGTATTGGGACAAAACAAAAAAAGGGAGGAAAGAAAGCAAATTCGACATAATGTCACACAAACCTCCAAAAATGGGCTGGACAAAAGTATTGGCACCCTTTCACAACTGCGGATAAATAATAATGTTACAAGCATGTGATGCTCCTGTAAACTCACCTGGGGCAAGTAACAGGTGTGGGCAATATAGAAATCACACCTGAAAGCAGATAAAAAGGAGAGACGTTCACTTAACCTTTGCATTGTGTGTCTGTCTGTGCCACACTAAGCATGGACAACAGAAAGAGGAGACGAGAACTGTCTGAGGACCTGAGAACCAAAATTGTGGCAAAATATCAACAATCTCAAGGTTACAAGTCCATCTCCAGAGAACTAGATTTGCCTTTGTCCACAGTGCGCAACATTATCAAGAAGTTTGCAACCCATGGCACTGTAGCTAATCTCCCTGGTCGTGGACGGATGAGGAAAATTGATGAAAGATTGCAACGCAGAATAGTCCGGATGGTGGATAAGCAGCCCCAAACATGTTCCAAAGACATTCAAGCTGTCCTGCAGGCTCAGGGAGCATCAGTGTCAGCGCGAACTATCCGTCGACATTTAAATGAAATGAAACGCTATGGCAGGAGACCCAGGAGGACCCCACTGCTGACACAGAGACATAAAAAAGCAAGACTACAGTTTGCCAAAATGTACTTGAGTAAGCCAAAAGCCTTCTGGGAAAACGTCTTGTGGACAGATGAGACCAAGATAGAGCTTTTCGGTAAAGCACATCATTCTACTGTTTACCGAAAACGGAATGAGGCCTACAAAGAACAAAACACAGTACCTACGGTAAAATATGGTGGAGGTTCAATGATGTTTTGGGGTTGTTTTGCTGCCTCTGGCACTGGGTGCCTTGACTGTGTGCAAGGCATCATGAAATCTGAGGATTACCAAAGGATTTTGGGTCGCACTGTAGGGCCCAGTGTCAGAAAGCTGGGTTTGCGTCCAAGATCCTGGGTCTTCCAGCAGGACAATGACCCCAAACATACGTCAAAAAGCACTCAGAAATGGATGGCAAAGAAGCGCTGGAGAGTTCTGAAGTGGCCAGCAATGAGCCCAGATCTAAATCCCATTGAACACCTGTGGAGAGATCTTAAAATTGCTGTTGGGAAAAGGTGTCCTTCCAATAAGAGAGACCTGGAGCTGTTTGCAAAGGAAGAGTGGTCCAAAATTCCGGGTGAGAGGTGTCAGAAGCTTATTGATGGTTATAGGAAGCGACTGATTTCAGTTATGTTTTCCAAAGGGTGTGCAACCAAATATTAAGTTAAGGGTGCCAATACTTTTGTCCAGCCCATTTTTGGGGGTTTTGTGTGACATTATGTCATATTTGCTTTTTCTGCCTCTGTTTTATATTTGTTCCAATACATACAAAGGGAATAAACATGTGTATAGCAAAACATGTGTTAATGCAATACCTTTTTTGTGTGAAATACTTGATTTTCAGGAAAAATATCAAGGGTGCCAACAATTTCGGCCATGACTGTATGTGCTATGGGGGCACCCGTGCATGTGCACTCCCGAGTCCATAGACACACACAGCACTGGTAAGCCACACCCCTGCTCCCTCCTCACAGCAGTTTGATTGGCAGCAGTAGTAGCCTATGGCTTCCACTGCTTTCAGTGTCTTCTGTAAGACCAGGAGGTGGGGGGAGATGTTCTGCAGCCGGGACAGCGCTGGTGACGTGAGATAAGCCAGGTAAGTATTTAGGGAGAGAGTGGATAAAATAGGTAGTGGGGCGTCTTTTACTCTAATGCAGAGAATCCATTAAGGTAAAAAAGCATTTAGACTTTGGAACTACTTTACCAACTTGGCTAAGTGGTTAGAATTTCCACCTAGCAGCACTGGTGGTCATCAGTTCAAATCCCAACCATGACACTACCTGCTCGAAATTTGTTTGTTCTCCCTGTGCGTTTGTTTTCTGTGGGTACTCCTGTTTCCTCCAACACGCCAAAGACAAAGACATGCTGGTAGGTTAATTGTCTCCTGTCTAAATTGGCCCTAGTATGTGTATGTATGAATGTGAGTTAGGGACCTTAGATTTTAAGCTCCTTGAGGACAGGGAATGATATGAAAGTACAATATATATGTGTGTATAGTGTTGTGTAAATTGACAGCACTTTATACCATATTTTTTGCTCCATAAGACGCACTGTTTTCCTCCCAAAAATGGGGGGACACGTCTTATGGAGCGAATATTCACCAGGCCTCCCCCCCCCCTGTCACCGCCACTGTGTTAGAATACCGGGCCAGCCAGCAGGGAGGGGGCGGGGCCAGGTCCGGGGCTCCAATGACCCCACCACATGCAGCCTGTATGCTCGAGAGGGAGCTTCTGTAGTAGAAGTTGTGATGTGAGTGGGAGCCCCGCCCCCCAGACCTCAGAGAGGATGCTGAGCCTGGCTGGCCAGGTATGTGTTTCCCCCCCATAGACTGCCTTTGGACCCTGAGCTCATTCTCATAAACTGTACATCTGTGCATTGCTGAAAGAACTCTGTGCATCCCCTGTAATATGTCTGAAGTCTCTGGTCATCTCCAGTAGTGTGTCTGCAGTCATCTCCTGTACTATGTCCGCAGTCTCTGGTCATCTCCTGTGTAGCAATTGTACCCACAGAGATGGACGCGGTTCAACCATTTTGCTCCAACCTCCATCTTGGCAAAGGATCATCCATCTTGTACAAATATACCTCTCCTCATCCCCCTCCCTCTCTGAGATCCACAGTGACATGTGGTCGGTGTGTGTGTGTTGGAAGTGTCACAGGCAGGCCAGAGCACAGCAGCAAGCTCCGAGCTAAAAAACCTCTCTGAGCTGGGTGCCGGGCGGTCTTAGAAACTGTGCAATCTGGCACCTCGTAAAAGGATAACCCAAGACTTCCCCTGAATTCAAAGACATTCCAGGGGAGTCATAAACTAGCTACCACTTTTAAAATCCATTTTCCCCAGCCACATCTTGTGATTGCTCACGATCAGACAAACCGTTTGATATGTCACACTCCTTAGCTGGAATATATAGGAAAGCAGAAAATTACATCTCTTGAACCATTCAAGTATGTATTTCATATCTAACCATTCCTCAGATGTGTCTGCATATTAATCTACCCGCGGGTGGAATGTTACTTGTTCCTAGGAAAAGTTATGAGCCAAAACATAAGCTAAGAACGATTTTGGTTCTAGCTTGGGTCTCCGCCTAGACACCCCTCCCCAAATGAGTCATTGGTCCTTAGCTTCAGAGACACCCCCTGCTGGGGGACTACAAAATAGGCTGTCAGGCCTAAGAGTGGAAGTTGAAGAACTCTCCCTTTTAACATCAGAACCAACTTGGAAGACGGTGCCCTTTTGCTCTGAAACTTGATCTGCTTAACCCAGGACTTTTGTCAAGTACTCTACCTCTCTAAACTTCTTTCTGTTACCTCTTTGCTGTGTTATTGCTCTCTGTATTTATGTATATATTGGTTACATCTTTTTTCTGTAAATATTTTTATTGCACCCTTTTGACCTTTTAGTATAATAAATCTTTCTTTCTGAAAGTTTAGAACTGTTTCTAAAGCTCCTTAATGCAACTTACGAATTCATGCCGCTGAAGAACGCTACTGTGTGTGTTTAACCCTCTGTATAACCTGTCTGCGGCGACAGTGGTATACAGACAATTATCTAATCATCCTAGTGTTATTGCTGATATTGCCGAGTTTCCTCTTTCTCTGTACAAAAAGGAGGTGGTGGCAGTGTGAAGGGTTAATTGCGTACTTAACCAGACCTTGTAACAATTGCGCTCAGGCTTCCGGTACATTGATTTGTGGTCCAGTGAGCTGTAAAATCATTTTGCAGGGTGCAGCTGGGTGTGGCATTGTTACACACGTGATATCGCAGTTTTAGATTGGCTAGTCCTTCGGTCACGAGTTTGGTGAGAAGGTCGGGGGTCTGACGCCGCGATCGTCACATCCTGTACTATGTCTGTAGTCTCTGGTCATCTCCTGTACTATGTCCGCAGTCTCTGGTCATCTCCTGTACTATGTCCGTAGTCTCTGGTCATCTCCTGTACTGTGTCCGCAGTCTCTGGTCATCTCTTGTACTATGTCTGTAGTCTCTGGTCATCTCCTGTACTATGTCTGCAGTCTCTGGTCATCTCCTGTACTATGTCTGCAGTCTCTGGTCATTTCCTGTACTATGTCTGTTGTCTCTAGTCATCTCCTGTACTATGTCTGTAGTCTTGGTTCAGAATATTTTTTTTCTTGTTTTCCTCCTCTAAAACCTAGGTGCGTCTTATGGAGCGAAAAATACGGTAAGTGCCTGTAATAAATAAAAAAATATTGACAATGTGTGTCCACCTTCAGGAGGTTATCCCTTGTTCTGTCTCCCTGTGGGAAGTTAGCCCACATCAAAAATAAATAAATATGCCACTCTCCACTAAAATAAAATTGTGAAGAAACTCAAAAAAATGTGTATACTTATACAATATATTTTGCAGCTTAATATTACATTTTAAATAGCGTATATAAGTCCACACTATTGATGTGCTATTCTGCTGCAAATACGTTCCCGCAATCACTCCATAATTAATTGTGATAACTTCCACTAGTGAGGGTTATATATATAAAAAAAAAAAAGGGTTATATACAAAAAAATATATATATATATTTTTATAAGAAAAAGTCCACACAAAAAAAGTCCACAAAAACAAAAACAAAAAAAAACTCCTCACGTGCTCCTCCATCTGTGTGAACTCACTTGATTTATATGACCAAACCGTTAAGGGAGGTCAAACAGCCTGTGTCCCTTTAAATGGACTTAAAGATGAGTGTATATATATACCGTATTTTTCGCTCCATAAGACGCACTTTTTTCCCCCCAAAAAAGGGGAGAAAATGTCAGTGCATCTTATGGAGCGAATATGGAGCGGCCGGTCCGGTATTTCCGCCGCCGCTGCCACCAAGTCAGAATACCGGGCCAGCCGCTCAGCTCTTCTCTCCTGCAGGACATTACCTGTTCCTCTGTCCAGCGCTGTAGTCTCCCACGCCGGCTTCTTCCAGCGCCGGCTTCTGTGACAACCGGGTGCCCATTGCGCGTGCGCGAGGAGCTCTGCGCTTTGTGAATGGTCCGGCGACTTCTGGGACACATGACAGGTCCCAGAAGGCACCGAGCCATTCACAAAGAGCAGCGCTTCTCACGCATGCGCAGTGGGCACCCGGCTGTCACCCCCCTGTGATCATTATTTCAATGTTTTTTTGTATCATGAGACAAATAAAATTTGTATTTTACATATAATTTAGTAGTTGAAATGCCTGCAAAGTCCCAATCCAAAATCACTGTTATGTGGTGTATGTTATTGAAAATTATATTTTAAACTGATGCATGGCATAAGAAAATTGTACTTTGTATGTCCCGCATTGCCATTTTTTTTTTACAAATCCATCTATGTTGAATTATATTCTGTTATATTTTAACCTTTCGGATATTTTCTCTTCCACCGTCAACTTCCACTTCTAAAAAATATCTAAGTATCATCCATTAGTAGTACAGATTAATAGTGATCTTATCATTCTGACTCTGTTTGCAAAAAGCCAATATCAAACAAAATTAACATACGCAGACAGTGTCATGCAGAGATCAAGAGAACATTCTACTTGGATCCACAGGCATGGGCATCCTGCTTGAATAATTTAATAATAAATAAATCAACAGTTTGAAAAAAAAATGTTATTTATTTGAAGCTCGGAAAACAACTAGGATGTCTTATATACACTCTGTAATTCATAGTGAGATCAAAGTTAGAATGAAAATGTTATTTTACAGTATATGCCTCTATGATTTATTGACACCTAATCTAAATGAAACTGTATGAAATACACATTTTGAGTTATTGTAAAATTTACTTGAAAGTGATTTTTGACACGAATTTAATCTTTTTTTTTCTTGTGCTTTGCTACATATTTTTAATATTGAATTTTAATGTACTGAGATTTTCTGTTCATTTATATACCAGGGAGCATGACTGGAATCCATGTGAAATGATTGCTGAGCTGAGATTGGTTAGCCTCTATTTTCTGCAATCTAGTTTTACCTGACCCATAGACTTGACCTGAGAAACAGGAGCTATCATGCACAGTATGGACATAGTGAGGTACTGCTTAGCCCAGTCTCAGAAGACCCAGAGGAACTCTTAAAAAAATTTCAGGTCTCATGGTATCCCTGCTAAAACCAATTTGTTGGGAGTCAGTGGAAAGAATGCAACTCTTACAGTTTTGGTCAGAATGACACCTTACAGACAGCTAAAAGGATCATTGGCATCAATGCTGCTGCTAGCCTTGAAACTATGTATGAAGGCAGGTGGTAGAGCAGCAGGTCCCCTTTAGGGAAGCTTGGGAGTTTATGCAGCACCAGGAAGACTAGAAAGGAAGAGGAAGAACAAATATCCATCTGCTGTGCTCCTACTCTCCCCCTTCTGGGGAAGGGCAGTGTGCCCAGGGTTCCACATCCTAGCCACAAGAAAGAAGGAAAGTTATAGAGGGTCAGTGCAGGTCCAGAGGAAGACTTTGGGAGTTGGTCTACCCCTTGGTCCCTCTCCTTTGAAAGAGTAGCAGGCCTAAAGGGAGTGAATGCCCTTCTGTAGAAGACATGAGCAGCCTCTAGCAGGGCCTAAGACCAAATGTACCTTGTTGCTGATGGAACTGTGTTGGGGTCTGTGCCCCAAGAAGAGCCATGTTAACAACTGATGCTTCCAAGTAAAGCCTAATAGTAACTTGATTTGGTCATAATTGTGCTCTGAAGAAAGTGAGAGAATTCTACTGATGTTCCCTGGTTGTCGGTCCTGAGAAAGGTTGGCCAACATCTGGAACCCCTGGGAGTGAGGGGGCAAAGCAGCACAGCCAGGAAGGTGGAAAGGGGGGTTGGTCCCTGCCCACTACCCATACATAGGGCTGAGTCATGGGTAAATGTTTTGTCTTGCCCAGGACGTTAGTTCTTGTTGGGGGTTGGCTTGACTGCTCTCTATGGCCAAGTCAAGGCAGCCCCGCCACCCACCAACATGTAGACACCATCAAATGACAAGACAGTCACCATAGCTCAAGAAACGGTTAGCAAACTCTAGAGGAACTCTAGGTTTCCACTGAACCTTGGTAGAGAATTGATGCTCTAGGGCAGGGGTCTCCAAACTTTTCAAACAAAGGGCCAGTTTATGGTCTTTCAGACTTTAAGAGGGCCGGAGTGTGACCAGTGGGAGTAGAAAATGTTTTGGGCCCAGCATCAGTTGGTGTCAGTGGGAGGAATAATGCTTCATATCATTGGGAAGAATAGTGCCCCAAGAGCCAGATAAAGGCTAGCAAAATGCCACATCCAGCCCTCGGGCTGCAGTTTGGAGACCACTGATCTAGGGTGTCTGCAAGTACCCTGCTTTTTTATGGATACGCATAACTGAACATTTGTTAAAGAAACTATGAGCACAATTCTATTTTAATTTCATTTTATGGTTAGAATTATAGCTATCATTTTGAAAGATTATTCATAACTGGTCATAAGGCATTAGGGCATGTTCCACAATCTCATTACTCTATGTGCTGCTGCAAATAGCAGTTGACAAGAGATCACATGACTAGTAGATGACAAAGGATTGCATACTGTGTGTGACTAATTCATTGTGGCCTCAAGGGCAATCAAAGCTGAACTTCTGACAAACACCTAAATGCACAAAAAAATACAAATATGGGAGCATGACTATGGGGAATGTATTTCTGTCCATCCGCTTCTGAGATTCACACATCCCTGGAACGCAGCACAACCCTGTCTAGCAGGGCAGGAGATCTGATTTTTGTCTTTTGTAGTTCAGCAATACTTACAGGTCTTCTACCGACCCGCAGCCTGTAATTAGACAGTGAAAGGAAAAGCAGCACACTGATGAGCTCATCTTTCTGTGTCTCTGTTCTCTTCTTCTGCAGCACAATGGACTGACTCCTTGTGCTGTTTTGTCTTCTCCCAGTTTAAGCTCTGCTGTGCAGGGACTGCTAGAGGCTGATCCAGGTCAAATTCAGGTACTTACACTGACTGTATTTAAAAAATATATAGATTATTATGATGTATTAATGAATAAAGAGCTGATTTAATTTGTATCTTTTGTATCTGCATGGCTTTCAGCTTCAGCTTTTGCATGGCCTTTAATGATTTATCACTAGTTATATGCACATGGTTATATAAAAATAACCTGGAGTCATAAGATCTACAGAGCTATGTCCTTCTTCAGGATAGTTATGGCTACTTCTCCTGAAAAACATAAATTGCTATGACACTGGCATCGGCTAAAGACGGCCTATCATTCACTCAATATCAACTAGTGTTCCTCTGATCATGTGATCCATTCCATGTCTTTCCTCTACATATCTTCCAAGACCTTTAGATCAGCAGCTGGTAGCAGTATTGTACAAAGATGAGGATTCCAACGTGACAGTAACAATACATTTTCATTTCACTGTATGAAACATGAACATTCCTGTTTCCCTAGTAGGAGTATTATATTTGGAAGGGTTAAATGACCTGCTGTGTATTTTTTGTCTCACGCTTGCTATAGAATTCAGCAGGCAAATCCTCCTCTTCATAATACAATTGTATTTCACATCAAACCTCATTCACCTTCTACAAAGATGACACAAACTCTATGGAGTGCACTATATGTCATCATTGTTTATTCAGGAAATTGCACATACAGCTTCTGCCGCCTATGACTCCCACCAGCCTGTGACATGCAAACAATAGGCACATCTCCTGGGTTTTTAAAATATTAATTCTCGTACTCTTTTCAATGGAAAACAAAAGGAAAATCCATTTTAACATGGATGTGAGCCTCTCGCCCTTTTCTTTGTACCCAAGTGGAAACTCAATACATTATTCTTCCAGCGGGGCTGAAGAAAAAAGAAGCTTTACATTAAGTATGCATTGTATCAGATGGAAGGAACAAAGACATGAATAATACTTCACAGGGTCATAATACCTCCTATAATGCTAATTCAGCTATGTTTTTGGGACATGTGTCAAGGATACCAATAATGGTACTGTACATTACATTAGTCTTCTACAATCTCTTCTTCAGTTTCTCAAGTAATGTGTCAGTTATGTGTACTATCTGTTCATATAAATAGTTTTTTTTTTGTTAGGTGCTCTTTATTTTTGTTCTTGATAATAATATCAGTCATTATAATTTGAGATGTTCCATTTACCTATTCTATTTCTCTGGTTCCCTGTCATCACAGGTGTCAAAAATT